GCTAGATTCTACAAAAGGGATATTTGAGAGCCTTAGTCAAAGAGGAGTTATTCATAATGCTTCAGAATTTAACACCAAAATTACCTGCTCATTCAACAATAAGTTTTCATGCTATGACAAAGTGAAGTATCCAAGTATAGTTAAGTCTAACCAGTTCTTAACATCTGCATCCACCTTCAGTCTTCACTGACCAATGAGATACAAGACCAACTATTAAGACTCTCTTGAATGAGAAACAAGATAGCAAGATCACTGTAAACTAGCTTCACTGGGTTCAGTATTGTGGAACAAGAAGCTTTTATCCAGTTTTACCCAGAACAGGCAGAGTGTAAGAAACACACACCCACTGTTTTATAGGTTAGCTGAACATCGTACAAACCTTATGAGGGTGCTTTACATGAACACAGAACCCCAGCTCCTTTAAAACTCTTCTCTCTGCCTTTATGATTTGATTCTTCAGATTAACATAATCTTGATCCAGTAGTAGAGGTACAGGTTTTCTGTAAGACATTATTTCAGATTCCATCAAGTAAGAGTGAAATGCCAATATTAAAAGACACCCAACCATCCTACTTTGACACATATGCAGGTTACTATATTTTGATGCAAACTAGTTAGTATTTACAACAGTACAAGCATTCTTCTAGTTAAGAAAATAACCAGATTAATGTTTTGGTTTTCATTCCCCAAACAAGGTTTTACCCTACGTTCCTTGAGTCATGATGCAGCTGAACTCCCCCATAGGCAAAGCAACAACCATGGCTAGCTAGGGTACTAAACTCAGGCTCTCACGTTCAGTAGTCCCCACATTTAAACAACTGACCGTGAAGAAAGCGAACACTTTCCAAATTCTAAACTTACTTTTTCTCTCTTAGATGCCGAAGGCGATGGAATACGTTAATTACATCTCTTATGCGCCTCGGTGCTTCTTCAATTTTGGATGCCAGATGAACACAGGCCATTGACACATGCTGAAATATAAGTATTGCAACATACTGATGTTTTGCTCAAATCTGGAACTGATCGCCTCCAAGAGCTTTAGGAGGGATAATAAGAGAAAGTGGTGGTAAAAACAAGAAATATTCAAAATTTTAAGATAAGTATTTGTTATAATGTAGATGTGTAAAACTGTGTTTAACTAAACAACATATCTATAGCTCAAAAGTTTCCTGTACACATAGTTCAACAGGGCATAATACATGCTCTCAAACACGAGAGAAATCAAATGCATAGTGCATTTTCTAAAAGAATCCTTACCTCCATGGAATGCTTCACAAAAGATTTTGTATAAAAGAAACGTTGAAACAGCACCTGCCCTGTAGCCATTGCCACCTAGAGAGAAAAGAAAAAATGGTAATCCAATATTAGCATCTTCATACAGGATTCTAGAGCAAGATGAATTACTACAACAAATCTGAGTCCCATAAAACCCATCAGAAATGCCTGACTCAGCAACAATCAGCTTAAAAAAAAGCTACACCACCATAAAGGATTGGTTTTCAACACCTAGAACTGTAATGTGCAATCTTAAAACAGATGAGATACTAGAAAAGTACCAAACAAAATATTTTATGGGGACACTCAAAAGTAATTATGAGGGTGGACACTACAGTCCAAACGGCCCCCAGTGCTGTGCCATCTATGCAAATACTCCTACTTGTTTATTTTTGGTTCTATGTTCGCTGAGCAATATTAAAAGGCAACCACCAACTCAAAGTGGAATCATTTTAACCATGAGTCAGCACTAAATGTCAAGTAAATCTGTCCCCAAGCTCCCCAGCCAGTCTTTGTGGTTTTACAGTCACATATCCATATTTAAAAAAACTCCCTTGTGCCATACTAAACACACACAGATGCAAGAAAAGATGGCTAGAGAAATTAAAACAGCTAAAATAAAGATTACTGGTAGCAGCACTAGGCAAAAAAACAATTTTATTTATTTTTTTTAACTGAAGGTCTCATTAACCTTGTTTCAATCATAGTGGCATTTTTGAACCCCTCCAAGCATCATGGTAACATCTGACTGTCCCATTTTCTTTACTGGCAGCGTAAAGGAGGAATTGAAGCTCGCCAGGAAAGTCGACGGGCGACATGTCACACGAGAAAGAATGTAAGAAACCCCACCTGAAGGGCATTGCGAAATCGTGCGCGTCACCAGCCGCAGCAAAGCAAAAGCCTGCGCGGCGGCGGGGGATGGGATCCCCCCCTTAGAAACGAGCGAGGCTTGGCCGAGCTACCAGGAAGGACCCTGGAGGGCTGAGCCAACCGCGGCCCTGGGCTCACAGGAAGAGATGGTTACATCAGCCGCTTCCGGTCCCAGCAGAGCCGGCCGGGACAAGGGGCGGGACGCTGCCCGTAAAGGGCACAACAGGGCCAGTTTCACACGCCTGGTTCCTTGGGAAACAAAAGGCCGGGGGCGCCTCCTGATCCCGAGTCCACCCTCCCCATTGCAAACGCAGGTGCGGGGCCCGGGGAGCTGCCCGCCCCCCCCGATTGCTGCCGGGGGCGGGTTTTACCTGGTTTCTGGGAGTACGGGGGGGGGGGGGGGATCGCAGCGGCCCCTGGGCACCAGCAGAGACGGCGGGGCCCTGCCCAGACGGGCGGGGAGAACAAAGCTTCCCCCCCTCCCAGCGCGACACTCCCAGGCAACTAAGGCCCAGCGCCCCCGGCGGCCGTGGGCCCCGAGCCGGCCCCGCCCGGGCCTGCCTCCCCGGCCCCGTTCGCCCCCTGAGACCGGAAGCTGCCCCTCCCCCCCGCCCCGCGGGCCTGGCCCCCCCCGCCCCGCTCACCTGCGGGAGCCGCAGCAGGATGCCGGCCGCCTGGATGAGCTCGCAGCCGGTGACGCGCAGCTGGGTCTCGGTGTCGGGGTCCAGGCCGCTGCCCATGGAGGGGGTGAAGCGCAGCGCGTCGTCGGGCAGCAGGCAGTTCTCCAGCGTGATCAGCACCCCCGAGTACAGCCGGTCCCCGATCAGCACCGCGCCGGGGCCCGGGGCGCCGCCCCCCGCCGGGGCCGGCCCCGCCGCCGGCAGCCCGCCCGGGCCCCCCGCTACCACGGCCGCCGCGCTGCCCGTCCCCGCCGCCATCTTGGGCCGCCGCCTCACCGCTCTCTCGCCTTCCCCTTCCCCAGCGCCGGGCGGTGTCCCGCCCGTTCCCCCGACGCCCGCCTCCCATTGGCGGGTGGCAGCGAGGCGCCGCTCTCGGATTGGCCGGCCTGCCCCCGGCGTGACGCGGCTCCTGCGGCCTCATGCAAGCGGCGTGACGCAGCGGTTGGGAATTCGAAACAGGGTGGAGTGGGCGGACCGCCCGGCGTGCATCGCGCGCCTCCCGCGCCCCCTCCCCCACCCAGACAAAGCCTAGGTCGCCACCACCGGCTAGGCCCGAGCCAGCCCTTCCCCCCAGCACACGGCAGGGGAGCCGCCCCCCGCTGGGGGGATTTGAAAAACGTATTCAAACAGATGCTGGGGGAATTGAGAGGGCCTGGGAGAGAAATCTGGAGCCCCCCTTCTTCATGTTCACTGGGGTCCCCCCTTCCACTTACAGACAGTTGGGGGCCCGGGTACAATTGCCCTCCCACCCCACATACTTACCTGCTTTCTGACAGGAGCCCTCAGGGCCACTCCACTCAGCTGTTCAAGCTTTTCTCTGTCATGCAGGAGGGCAAGAGTTTTAAAAGTTTGTTTCCTAAATAACCCCTTGACTCCAGCAGCTGGGGCTTTAAGTAAAACAAGTCTCCCAAGGCTTACCCCCCCAAATCTTAAATTGGCAACACTGACCAGCCTTCCCACAACCGTAGTTTTATCTTGCACGACTATGCCTCATAAGAGCTCAAGCAGAAAAGGTGGCACCTTAGAGACTAACCAATTAAGCTCAAGCAGGAACTCTCTTCCACAGCAGCAGCACCAGCATCTGCCTTGAACAGACTCCAGCACACAGATTTCACTGGAAGATATATCTGAGTGTAAGCTTCCATTTGCTTCAGCTTTAGCTAGGTCATTTATAGTAGGGTGGTGCTCCCCTGAAGACCAGTGCCTTGAAGGGTTCAGGGTTTTAAAGCCTTTACACAGCCAGAGGTCCCAATCGCACTACCGCTTTTAACTGCAAGGCCTGCTCTACACTAGAAAATTATATCAAGCTAGGTATATCACTCAGGGCTGTGAAAAAATTCACACCTTGAGCAATTTACTTAGGTCCACCTAACCTCAAGTGTAGATTACAGCAGGGTTGATGGAAGAAATCCTCCATCCACCTAGTTACCACTCCTGAAGAGTGGAATAACTACATAGATGGGGAAAAAACCCTCCCATCAATGTAGGAAGGGTCTATGCTACAGTAGCACAGTTGTAGCATAGATATGGGCTTAATCTCAGGTTCCCCTGACTCCGACACAAGTGTCATATAGACTGAACCAGTGAAGAGATTAGCAACTCTGTGGATAGGTTTTAGGCAACACATCACATGTAAGCTTTCCTTACTAGACTGGCCTGTTTAATTTTTAAACTAATTTGAAAGACTGACCGCTACACTTGAATATACTTTAGCTGTGCTGCACTCTTTTACATATTCTAGTTTAAAGAAAAGCTAGATACTCCACATTTTGTGGCATGAAGCTAGATGGCACAATACTTGAGAAGGCATGGTTTATACTCGTAACAACTTCTGAATTTCTGGTGATTTCACTAGCTTTTCTTTTTCTTTTTTTAAAGATGCCTTCACATGCTTATCTCATGGACTGACTACTTATTTTAGTAGAACTCTACTAGCTGCAGCACACGCCTTACTAAGCCTTTAAGATTTTCCTTTTTTCTGCTTTTTAGCAGGTACTTCCAAAGTCATCTTATGCGTCATATATTTAAGCCATAGCTTTGCAATATAACCTCATTAACACTGAGTGCCACATAGATGCAAGTAGAAAAACATCAATGTGGGATAGTTGTCAACATTTCAGGAAGCATTTAAAAATGTATGTTATTGTACTGTGACACCAGAAGTGACTATTCAGATATTTTCATAATACATAAAAAACCCTTTATTAGATTGTTACAGAACAAAAATGTTTACACAACATTTTGACGTAGAGCGACTTCTGCACAGTAGGGTTTATCCCTGTTAAGCTTAGATTGCAATTTTAACCAAAACCACTAAGGAAAAAGAACCGTCCTCATAAGTTTACAAGCTAGTTGTCTAAGACTTCCTTCTTTCTTGCTAGATTGATTTTAGAGGATTTTGTTTCATAGATATGACTTTTTTTGTTCTCTGGGGTGCAAACTTACTTTGAAATACAAGTCTCTGCTTAGAATAGGCAGCTATAATTGCAGATTATGCCTGTCACTTCAATAATGGTGTACAATTCGTGAAAATATTCCTTCTGGTTCTTTTCCATCTCCAAGGGCATCAAGGAAGCCTTCTTGTCTCCTCCTTTGGGCTAAGGCAGCTAGGGACTTGAATGTCTTTGGCTCATAAATAGCCAGATCAGCAAGCATTTTCCTGTTCAGCTCCACCTGGCACTAAATGCAAGAAGGATGGTCAATGAAGAGCATAGTAATTATCCTTTTACAAATGTTCATTGTTAAGTTCTTAAGTGCATTATTATATACATGTTTCATTAAAATGCTACTATTTAATGGATATTTTAGGCAAACGAACATCTGATTTTACTACCTGCGAAAACCTCACAAGATACACATCTAATTTTTGTGAATATCCCAAGGGGAAAGTGTCATACAATTCAACAACAGCAATACGATACAAAACAGATAACCACGGGTTTTCTAAAACCCCTTTTGAACCAATTCCAGAAGCTACAGTGGGGAGTCTCTTCCTTTATGGAAGTCTACATAGTAAGTGCCTGATCTTGGATGCTCTAGTTTTCAAATTCCAGCAAACAAGGTAAATATGTTCCAAAGGGATGGGAATTCTTATTGAAATAATGTTTTGCACTTTTATAATGACTTCCATCCAAGGTTCTCAGTGCTCCTTTGTAACGTAGTCTATCCATTTTGGAGGTGAGGAAATGGATACACAGAAATTGACTTGGCCAGAGTCACACAAGTTGTCCGTTTCAGAGGTGGCAACAGAACTTGGCTCTTAGTTCCTAGTCCTGTTCCTTAACCATCCCTACATAGTACTTCAGATTATGCAATAACATCCAGAAATATTCTCAGCCCATCCATTTATTTTCACCTTTAAATAAAAAGCCAAGTTTGAGTTTCAGGGCCCAATCCCATGAAGTGCTGCACATCAACAATTCCCATGGACTTCCACAGGAGTGGTGGATGCGGAACTCAGGATCCAGCCCTTAAAAGGGTCTCAAAATGGAAGGACCTCAGGATTGGTCCCTTTATAGACTACATAGAGCAATGAGTGGATGATCTAAAATATCAAAAGATTATAGAAACCAGGTCTGCTTCTTTTGGAAAATGAAACTAAGGACCTCCCTGATGGACAATTCTAAGATGCAAGGGACACTGACTTTCTCTGAAATACCTGTTCCTTTGTCTGAGTTTGATGGAACTTCTATGCAGAGTACTTTATTCCATTAGTTACCAAGAGTTACAATAAAAACAATAGAAGCACTTTAACAGTTTGATAACTTTAGAATAAATCTAATTTAATTAGTTGATCAAATAAGCTACTGGTTTAATTTTCTATCCAGCTGTTCTACAGCCTTAATTGAGGGGGGGGGGGGACGACTAACAGTGTTTAAAGCACACTGCCATCTTAAATTTTGCTCAGGTTAAAAGTTTGGAGAAACAAGCTAAACCTAAGACCAACAAATTTTTCCAATTCTAATGTGAAGCTTTGAAACAAATCCCCCTGTATGTTTTAAGAGCACTGAAGTGCTAAGAATGTAGCAGCGAAACTGACTGCATTTATTTTTGTTGTCCAAGCTGACTGAAATGCACCAGTTTAATTAGTGAAAAGTAATTTGGATTTTTAAACTCACTTCTAGTAATTCAAGGTTTTATTTGTTTTGTATTTTTAAAATATCTTGATATCTAAAAAGGCAGCTATTACTCTGAGGACCTGACAGTAGCATAGGTAACAACATTTACAATAAACAATGTAAATTGACACTGTCCCTTTAAAGAATAAATGAAAACAAGTTCTTCTGATCACATAAATCTATAGTGAAGAGGTAGGAATGTGTTATGAGTCTTATGTTGAGCTCTTATGCTGCCAAGATAAAAGAAGGTCACTTGTAGCACAAATAGATACAAGTATAAAACAGGACTACATTATTGCAGTAAGCAAGAAAAAGCATAGACAAGAAATTTCATATTTATCCCTCATCAGCAGAACTGGAAGGTTTTCTGGGTGTTTTATGGAATGACTGATTGAAAGACCAATGAGAATTTTGGACAACCTGTCACCATTTCAGTGCAATTCTTCTTCAAGCAACACACTTACCTTAAGCAGATTGCCTATGAAAGCTGGATATTTCAAACCATGTTCAAGAGAAGCTGCTTCAATCCTCGTAATCCAGAGCTTAAAAAACACAACGATTTAAATATAAAAATACAAATATTCTAGTTGATGCTTTCTTTTGGTAAGGAATTAGACATATGGATGTGCTCAGATTCAATAAATACAATGTGTCCTGACCAACATTTCTTCAATGCTAAAATTCTGATGCAACATGCGCTACTTCAAAGCCAACAGGGGCTATTGCTCTTGCCTTGAACTTGGAAAACTACTCTTTCAACAGCAGTTTGTAAAGCATTTTGGGATACCCCGAGTAGGAAAACAGCTATATAAAAATGACTCTAGTCTCTTCCAGTTTCACTGTTTACATCTATCATTTTGGTTTGTTTTTTACCGCTCTCATGAATTTCTTCTTTTCTCTTCTGGCCTTTGTAGACTTCACAAAAGCTCTCCGAACACTTCGTACAGCCAATCTATAGCAGCGGTTCTTCCTTCCACGAAAATGCTAAGGCAAAAACAAGATGTTCCAGTTCAGTTATTAACTTTATAAGGATGTAAAGCCTTTCAATAATATGAATATAGAAGATATCACTTTGCATTTCTAAAGAGCCTTTCATTAAGAGGATCTCAAAGCACTTTACAAACATTAGTTAAGCCTCAGCCAATTTTCTCATTTTACAAATGGGGAAATAGTAACTGAAAGATTAAGTAACCTGAGAAAGACTACAGTTTCTCACTGGCTGGACAGAGCACAGAATCAGTTTTAGTTTTCAATCCCAGATTCTAACAGTGGGCCAAACTCACACTAACTTTCTAACTCTTAAAAAACAGAAGGGGCTGCCTGTATGCAAAAAGCGGGAAATCAATTGGGAATCCCTATCCTTAGTAACGTCTCATAGCTTGAGCCACTTCGTGTACCACTGATGATCATACAGTATCTGTGGAAACCACCACAGTTGCACATATGGAAAATTAACACTGGGCAAGTGCACCATGCAATTAGTCTGCCCTCCAACAAGTATCCCCACAGGGTAGTCATGATATATGGCTAGACTGGGACCCAAAAGTGTAGGATATGCCCATTTAATTGTAGGCGATGCCCTGCTCAATGCTATAGCAGCTGATTATATCACCAAAGCTGCTGACAATATGCCCTTACAGAAAATTCCTTTTAAACTATTGCATATAGGATTAAAGAGAGACTGTCCACTTAAGTCGTATTGTAAAGAAGTATCTTTACCTGTTCTAAGAACACCTGAAAATCTACCAATATACATTTACTTGTCACTGTTAATGCTCTTTACTTTTTGCATTTTGATCAGTTCAAATTAAGTCAATTCAGCCAGTTTCATTGTTTATACTCAAGTGTCATTTTCAGATTGCTCCTGCTGCAGTGTCTGGATTTCAAACACTGAGGGAATGTTTGGTTAAGGCTTTATCAAAACTTGTTTCTACAGTATTTATATTTCTGGGGACCAAATTTAAGTTCACACTATCCCTTTAACCTTATATGTGCAAGCAAGGCTCAGGTAACCATCTAATCCCATTTATATGGCAACCATGGACAGCCAATAAGTCAGCTATTTTCCTTTACGCCAGAACATCATGCCTCTCTTTTGTATAAAAAAAAACAAAGGGTGTGAACTTCTGGCTCTATTATGGAGAAGAGCACAGCCTCTGGGGAGACCAGAGTGAAAGCTTTATCTGTGCTCTCTGCCATTCCCCCCACCATGCACTGGGCAACTCAAGAGAGGAACAGGAGTGTCACCTTCAGGCCCAGAAGAAGGACAAGACTATAAGTGGATGGGGTGTGGGAGGAAGCAACTAACAAAAAGAAAGGGACAAACACCCCCCTTCTGCTCCTTGGGGGGGCACGACACCCACCCCCACACACACACCCCTTCTGCTCCTTGGGGGACACGACACCCCCCCACCCCCACACACACACCCCTTCTACTCCTTGGGGGACACGACACCCCCCCCCACACACACCCCTTCTGCTCCTTGGGGGACACGACCCCCCCACACACACACCCCTTCTGCTCCTTGGGGGACACGACACCCACCCACCCCCACACACACCCCCCTTCTGCTCCTTGGGGGACACGACCCCCACCCACCCCCACACACCCCCTTCTGCTCCTTGGGGGACACGACCCCCCACCCACACACCCCCTTCTGCTCCTTGGGGGACACGACCCCCCACACACACCCCCCCCTTCTGCTCCTTGGGGGACACGACCCCCCACACACACCCCCCTTCTGCTCCTTGGGGGACACGACCCCCCCCCCACACACCCCTTCTGCTCCTTGGGGGACACGACCCCCCACACACACCCCCCTTCTGCTCCTTGGGGGACACGACACCCCCCCACACACACACCCACACCCCCCTTCTGCTCCTTGGGGGACACGACCCCCCCACCCCCTGCGGGTTCGCGGCCGGGCTGGGAGCGGCGGGCTCTGGGTGCGAGGCGGGGACAGGGCAGGAGGAAGCGCCTGGCTCCCGGCAGATGCGCAAAAGGCGGCCAGGCCAGGACAGGACAGGCAGGCGCCGAAGCCGCGAGCGGGGCCGGGGAGGAAAGAGGCCCGGGGCGGAGGCTTGGGGCCGGGGCCGGGGCCGGGAACCGGGGCTGGACTCACTCACTCGCGCATGCTTGAGCACCGCCTGCACCCTCCAGAAGCGGTCGGTCAGGCGGCTCCGCAGCCAGCAGGGCGCGCTCAGGAAAACCATCGCCCCCGCGCCCGGCCGGCCAGCAGCGCCCCGGCCAGCGAGCGAGCGAGCGAGGCGGGACCCGGGGCACGTGCGCGGGCCCGGGGGGGCGGGGCCGCGGCGCCGCTGCGGGGGGAGGGGGTGATTGACACGCGGCGCTGCTGGGCGAAGGGGGCGGGGCCAGCCCCAGCTATAGAGAGCGGGGGGGGGGGGGGACGACTCAGCAGCTCGGGCTGGGCTTCCCATGCACTTAGTTTTGGGGGGGCAGGAGCATAGATGCCGCCCCTGGGGGTGCTGCAGCACCCCTGTCTTGAAGTGGTTTCTATCATACATACAGGCTTTACAGTTTGGTTCAATCGCTCTCAGCTTCCTCCCCCCCCCCCCATACAAATTGTTCCAGCCCCCCACAGGCAGGAGGTCACAGCTGCCCAGATAGTTTTTGGAGGGGAAGAGCAACAGTTGCAGAGACTGGGGGAGAAACATCTATCTGGGCACATGAGGCTCCCCCCACAGGAAAGCCAGTTATTTGCAGTGTCTGAACAGCTGTGCAGATGGCCTGCGGGCGAGATAGAACTAGCAACCCGTGGGGCTGGAGGGCTGCCTGTTATGGGTACCCAGCCCATCTCACACTGAGGCTTTCAGTGTTTATAACTTTGCCAAACTTTAGCTGGTGGAACTGACGCTTTCCCTGCCAGGTGTCTCCTCAAGATGAATTTAAAAAAAAAAAAAAAAAATTGAGCCGAAAGAGTTCAGCCGTTTGTGAGAAGGAGGAAAACACTTTCCCACAAACTTTTCTTTTGGATGCTCCAGTGTCCTCATGCTCTGGAGCCGGAACTTGAAATAAGGCCTTTGAGCCAATAATGAGCCATTTGCTGTTCCCCGAATCCGCTGTCCCAGCTGCAGCTGAAATCAATGGGAGCTGTGCTTTGAACACATAAAGTACTGCATAATGCTAAGTATTCTGGAATATCAGGTCCCAGGTGTCTCAAATAGCCAGGCACCCAAAATTAGTAGATACTTTGGACCTTAATCTCTTTGTGCCTTAGTTCCCCCTCTGTAAAATGAAGATAACAGCACGCCCTCATCTCACAGGGGTGTTGTGGAAATAAATGTTTGTAAAGCACTCAGGTGCTACGGTGATGCTATTGTATTAATTTAGAGGGACTAAATGGACCCAAAGAGTTGAAGGTGTTAAGATGACCCAATCACTATCCGATGTTAAACAGTCTTAAACAAGGTTTCAGAGTAGCAGCCGTGTTAGTCTGTATTCACAAAAAGAAAAGGAGTACTTGTGGCACCTTAGAGACTAACCAATGCATCCGATGAAGTGAGCTGTAGCTCACGAAAGCTTATGCTCAAATAAATTGGTTAGTCTCTAAGGTGCCACAAGTCCTCCTTTTCTTTTTAGTCTTAAACAAGATTCAGGGGCACTGGTACACAGATATCTTTTGCCCCTTTTCCCATCAACATTTGTTTTTATAAGTTATTGTGACACTTTCTGAACTTTCATTCACTTTTCACAGTTGAGCTCACAATTAGGGTAAAGTTGTATGACCCGTTATCACAACAGTACCATAGAAAAGCCCACGAGGAAATTAATGATTCTGTCTTCAGGGCAGGGTTTGAATAGTGTGCAGTAAAGGCCTGGAGTCACCCACTGAAAAATGTGAAGAAAACAAAATATTAAATAGCTGCTCACTAAGTGAGCACCATCCATTCTGTGCACTGAATGAGGCAGTGGTCTTGTGGAAAAAACAGTAAGTGGTAGTGTAATTGAACACCATAATGCATATGCATAAGGGGGCTGAATTAAGGTTACACCGGCAGCCTTAATTCTGGCATTTCCTAACTTTTGACTGTGCAACCTTAATATTATTCTTTTAACTTAGTATTTTTGGGTGATATATGTAGATATAGTTTAATATTATGTATATCTAACCTATATTGATATACAGTATACCATAGATATAAATTGCAGATAAGATGTTTGGTAGTATTAAAATAGGGGCTACATCAGATGAGACTTTTGCCCTGGTGTCAGCCAAAATTTCTCCACCTGTCTGCACATACATACACAGTTGTGTAGCGTGTTGTGTGCCATTTCTGCAGTCATTACCCCAAGCGCGGTTGCATTTCAGAGGTGAAGTTATTCCAATTCTGTCATTTGTTCGGATTTCATACGTAGTTGTGCCCCTAAGGGCTCTTTTATGCCAACTGGCAAAGGGCGCACTGTTATGTAACCATAAATCCCAGCAGATCTGACAAACTCACTACGCCCAACACGCTCTTGTCAGAATATTTAGCCAAACAGTTCTTGTGAGGTATCATGAAAAATGGTGACATGCTGATCATGAATATCATTGTGTGATGTGGGTATGGGTTGCGTATAAACAGTTATGTACGTGTGCTGGAAATGTGTTCTTAAAAGATGTTGTGGAGGCAGTTGATAAACAAAGGAACGTGGGTTACGTCTCTGCATGGATCAGGCTAACAGGCAGATGAGAAAACCACATGGCCTGGTTACAAGAAAAGGACAATAAAAATCCATGTACATCTAAGGTAAACAAAGTGATCAAGGCAAACGAGAAAGCGAATTGACCAGAGGAGGAAGAAGGGGCTTGGCGACTGCAACCAGAGGAAACACAGGCGCCGACTTTTCAAAGTGCTCCGCCCCAGGCCCCACCCCCACTCCACCCCTTCCCCCAAAACCCCACCCTGCCTCTTCCCACTCTACCTCCACTCTTCCCGCCCAGTTCCGCCCCCTCCTCCAAGTGCGCCGCATCCTCGCTCCTTCCCCTTCCCCCCAGCTTCCTGCACGCCGCGAAACAGCTATTCGCGGAAGGTGGAGGCTCTGTTCCATGGGACCCGCCGGCGGGTGGGAGGCACTGGAGGGGGGGCTGCTGGTGGGTGCTCAGCACCCAACATTTTTCCCCAGTGGGTACTCCAGCCCCGGAGCACCCACGGAGTCAGCACCTATGAGCAGGGGAGAAGAATTTTGCCTGGGTTTATTTTTCAAAGAATACATTTCAAAGGTTTTCTGACTGTAAAAGGGAGTCAAAGGGACTTCTCGGTTATCCATCACTTAAGGCACAAAAGGGGCCAGCACTCTTGGAATCTGTGAAAAATGGTTCCCCAACCAGGTGGGTTGAGGATGCTGAGAACTGACTGTAGGTGAGAAATTCCCTGAGACTGTTAAGTTTAAGACTCTAGAAAGCGTGTTTTCTTTTATTTGTAGCCACTTTCTGTTTCTATTATCTCTGCTCAGTATCACTTAAATCTCTGCTCTTTATTAATAAACTAATTTTAGTTTTACCATAAAGTCATCTCAGTGCTGTTTTATTAAAGTGTGGCATGCAGTCTCGGATGAGCCAACAGGCTGGGATGTATTCTGTTTCTTTCAAGACAATGGACTTGGTATTTCTGTGGGCATCTGGTGATAGGAGGTGAATGCTGCAGAGGAACGGTCTTCCAGGGGGTTCGGGAACTGGGGTTGACTGAATGTTACTTGCAAGGCAAGGTGAAGACTGGCAGAGTCTCAAGGAGTTTGCTGGTGAAGCAGACAGACCGGTGTGGCTGGGAGCTAACACACAGTTTAAGCTCCAGCAAAACTCTCCCTTGCTGAGGCAGATGAGTAACACAGTGGCTTATGATTCTGGGCACAGCGAGACAGTGTCACAGTGGTGAATAAGGTACAAGCAAATGAATGAAAAATCAATCTGGGAGGCAGAAATTTTTCATAGCTGAAACCTTTCATGACTGTGCAGACTTCCTACCTGATCATTGGCCAGCAGGGGTTATCGCCAGTTTAGCGTCCCTCTCTCCCTGCAGAGGGGAAGATAATGAGGCAGTATTGGATGCTGTAAATCAGGCGTGTTGCATAGAAGGAAGGCAGGAATTCCTACTCCATGCTTGGGAAGCTACCTTGTTGCAACCCCCAGTCACCTACAGTGCTGACTGTAGTCGCCCAGACTGGGGGACATGCCTCTGTTTGGTTTCTGGCAATGTAAGACCAAGCTCTCTTTGCTGAGATTATTACACTAGAAGAGCCTGTAGGAAGGACGTATGTGACCTGACAGAATTTTGTTGTGATTGCTGCACCCTGCTAGTTTACACCTTCTAAAGGTGTTCACATGCCAGCAATCTCTCCTCATCTGAACTGTTGGTCCATGCTTTGTCATGTCTATTCTAGGCCCTACAAACTGCTTTGTGCATGGGACCCCTGCACCAGTGCAGAACCCCACTGACTTTTGGGGGGTCCTGTGTGGGTGCAGGGATCTGCCCGTGTGAATCCAGCTAAAGGGACAGAGCCTAAGACTATATACAATCTAATGCTAGGGAATATGTCTTAGTCTGTGCTTGGAAAGAGTTACGTAAATGAATAATAGTAAAAAATAACAAAGTGCTTTGAGACCATTGGTTAGAAGGAGCCATAGAAGTGCAAATTATTATTGTAACATGAGTTAATGTCCACAGAGGGGTTTATAGACTGAAAAGAGAGCTGTTCAAATACTGAATAATACGATTCATCAAGTAAAATATTGGCCGGATCATGTATTATTCATCAAATATTGCACTCAACCAGCCGTGAAGTTGAGTAATGCAAAACACGGAATCATGAATAGTGCCATTACTTGACAAATATTATCCATCCAGCTCTAACCAAGACCAAATTCTAATTTTCATTTAACTTCTGTTGACATAGTTTTATTACATGTCTTCAACCGTCCTTCAAAATGTACATGTTTGATTTTGGCTGCAGGCATGGAAGTGACTACTTGGGAGCATTTTGCAGGTTGGAGCTATTTTTCCACTTGGAAACAAATTATACCCTGCATGCATTTGGAATCCTGCCCTATATGGAGGCAGCAGGTGCCGTTATTGCCTAGATGACAGCTTTGCTGATTCAGTGCTTCCTATGCCACAAGAGCTGGTAATTTATCAGTTGATTCAGTGGTTCTTTATCAGCATACAGGTTTATTAAATGTCCACTGGTGGAATATAAGAAGACATCAGCATTGGAGTATTCTAATGTTCACAGGTGTATTCTAGAGATAGGATGATTGTAAATAGCACAGATCTGGCCATTTTGCCCTTCTTCTACATCCCAAGCCAGTGCCGCCCAGAGGATTCAGGGGGCCTGGGGCAAAGCAATTTTGGGGGCCCCTTCCATAAAAAAAAAGTTAGTTTTGCCACCCCAAGTGGCGAAGAAAAAAAAAAGAAAAACCCAAGTCATGCTGCCAAAGAAAGAAGAGGACAGGAGGACCCGCCAGCGAATTGCCGCAGAAGACTGAAGCAGAGCGACTGAGCTGCCGCCAAAGTGCCACTGACGAGGAAGAGAGGGACTGAAAGACCCGCCGCGAAATTGCCCCCACCCTATCTGCGGGGCCTGGGGCAAATTGCCCCACTTGACCACCCCTCGGGCGGCCCTGTCCCAAGCTAAATCGTAAGTGAACTTCAGGCACTTCAAATGGCTACCACCAGGTGATGATGGCGGCCATTTTAAGTGTGGTCTTGCTTCTTCTCGCCGCCTGGCCTATCTTCTGCCAATCTCCTTTACCTTGTCCTCTGCTGCTTCATTACTCCGACCACCCTTTCCAGAGCCCCATCTTCCGCTTTGGGCACCTCCCACCCCACCTCCTTGAGGCTTTAGGATTCATCTAGTATCCATTGGCTACATTATCTGGTATCTAATGAATCCCCAAAGATGGTTTAATCACATCCCTAGTAAATACGTATTACAGCAGCACACCGCTAAAGACAGAACCTTTTAAACAGTGAGAGCCCTATTCTTATTTATACTAAGGCCCTATGACACCACTCTAGTGGTATAAAGGGGCCTTACAATGGGTATACAGTGTATTTAAGGTTCCGTTACTCTGCAAGAACAATGTAAATGGGAATCAGGCCCTTTATCGGTTAATACTGGAATGATGAGAAGTCTGATCCTTCTTCACAAGGTGGCAGCAGAGTAAACTGAAGGACAAAGTTGTTCTCATGCCTCTCAGGTCCAGTTGACTGTACTTGAGTTGGGATCTAGTTCAGGTCCGGATTGCAGCTTGTCATCTTCTCCTGGGAAGTGGACGGAGTGCCCCCAGGAAGGAGCATGCCTGACGCTAGATCCTGTACCGTTTCATGCCAGCGAGTTCTGAAGGACAGACTTGCCCCCTTCCCCATCAGCAGCTCCATTAAAAGGAAGTGATTTTTTTCCACAGCCAGGTGCAGTGGGGTTTTGTTTAGCCAGCCGGCTGCATTGATCTCAGCTCCATGGTCCAGAAGGTAACTGGCTACCTCGCTGTGCCCACAACAGGCAGCTCTGTGAAGCGGAGTCAGATTCAGACAGTCTCTAATGTTGGCGACAGCTCCTTTCTCAACCAGCAGGTGGACGAGGGCCAAGTGTCCCGCAGCTGCTGCCTTGTGGAGTGCCGTGCAGCCGTAGCGGTCCTTCATGTTCACGTCAGCTTTGCTTTCCAGCAACAGTCCTGTAATCTGGGAAAAGCAAAAGGGAGTTCAGTTGCGTGGCCCCATGCACACGAATGGGCATGCGTTCCACCTTCTTGCAATGCATAGGAATATTGGTCCCAAACCTGCAAAACCATGAGAACCTCTTGTGATCAGTTATTTTCATTTCCAAGTCAACAGGAGTTGAGGGCACTCAGCACCTCTTAGGAGTGGGTCGGCATCTTGTAGGACTGGGCCCACACTGCGCAATCTACAGCAATTTCAGTGGCCGTTTGCAGTCTCAGAGACCCATGTGCCAATACAGAGCTCACTGCAGGACCAGGGCCTTAAAATGAGTATTACTTTTTGCTCTTCAAGTCTTGGCATGGGACAAGAAACTGGAAACTCCTTCTGAGGACTTCGGTAGGGCCAGGATTTCAGTTTTAGTGAATACGTGTTTTTAGCAGTAAATGCAGCTTCCTGCTTCTTTTTAAAGTATTCTCAGCGAGGCATAGTCTAGTGGATTTATTTTTCTTGGTGAATATAAATGTCATAGATTTATAGATCCCATGGCCAGAAGAAACCATTGTGATCATCTAGGCTGATCTCCTGTATAACACAGGCCACAGAACTCCCCCAAAATAATTCCTCGAGCGTGCCATGACATTCTGTTTTTGGTTTACAAGTTTCATTTGCATTTTATCTTTGCATTTGCCTTTTAATTCTTCCATTTCATCCTCCTATTTTAAAGTCACTCATTGAATTCTCCCCCGTGTTCTGATAGCTGGGGGTGGGGGAGGGCAGGGAGAATTCCCAGATGATTTACTGTCCCTCCTTAGGAAAAGCTACTGTGCATTGAGTGTACCTGTACAAACTGCAAATGGCACCCAAGATATCGAATCCCATCACCAGAATATGATCTGTCTTCAGCCAAGGTGCTGTTAGGAAGTCGAGTCCTTTACATTTTTCTGATGTACCTTTTCCCTAAACATGCACAGAGAAGCCAAGCCCATTGTGCTGTTGTGTCAGCGGTCACATAGGTCAATATGAGCAACCAGTCAATGGAGCTAGCTGCAGCTACTCAGGCATATCTTTCCACTTTGTGGCACTTTGGAACCCCAGAGGACAATCAAGAGAGAAAGCTGTGTGTGTTGATAACCCAGACATAACATTCATGGCCAAACGGCTGGGTCTGAGTCAGCATCTTTGGTCATCTCGGATTGTCCCAAGTGAGCACTGGACTGGGACTCAGGAGACCTGTCTTCTATTCCCAGCTCTGCCACTGACCTGTGGGGAGACCCTGGACAGGTCACTTTCCCCCGCTGTGCCTCAGTTTCCCCATCTGTAAAATGGGGATAATGATACAGACCTCTTTTTAATGTGTTTTGAAATCTATGGATGAAAAGTGCTATGTAAGAGCTAAATATTCATATTTATATTATTATTGATAGACTTCAGTGGCCATCTCTCCCACCTTGCTGACCCTAATCAACTGATAATGAACCATTGCCATGAGCATATTGCAGAATTCCATGCATTAAGAAGAATGGATATTAGGGGCCTACCTCTCGATTGCCATTATCGGATGCAATGGCAAGTGCTGTTCTCCCCAGCCCATCTTGAGCATTGATGTTGGCACTCTTGGCTAGCAAGAATCTTAGAGCGTCACTTCTTCCCGTCTCTGCCGCGATGTGCAGTGCTGTGATGCCTCCGTTACTGCCCAGATCTGGGGAGAGACCCTGGCAAAGCAGCAAGTCCATGATATGCAGTTGGCTGTTCACAGTCGCCCAGTGCAGTGCTGTCCACCGGTTGTTGTCCCCGCTGGCAGGATCTGTGCCTTGCTGTAGGAGCAACTGCACGATGAGGGTGTGGCCACTGGCTGCTGCACAGTGAAGTGGGGTGAGGCCCCTTTTAGTCACGGCTGATGCTGGGGATCCCCGAGCCAGGAGAAACTCAGCCACTTGGGTATGGCCGCTCCAAGAGGCATGGTGCAGCGGGGTGTAGTGTGCTCTGTCTGTGGCATGGACCACGGCTCCACGCTGCACCAGAAACTTCACCAGCATGATGGACCCCTTCAGCGTGGCACTGTGTAAGAGCGTCCATCCATTCTCGTCCCTGTGTGGGCACAAAAATGAAACCTCAGGGTGTTTCTTTCAGGACGGAGAGCGAATGAGCGAGACAGAGCTGGGGTAGAGTGGGAGCAGCTGGCTCAAGGGGGCTCACCTGCTCTCTATCACTGCCCCCTGCCGCAGTAGCTGCTTCATCACGTGGGTGTTGCCGTCCCAAGCTGCCAGGTGAAGCTCTCTCCAGCCCCGGTGCACAGGGGCAGACGGTGAGTTATTCTCCATGAGCTGAATGCCAGAGTCAGAGCTGTTCCCCATCGACTCTCCTTCCAGGGTCATCTCCTCACTCAGCTCCATCCACCTCCTCAGGAGCTCGGCCTCTGCTCTCATTCCTCATTTTGTTTTTTTCAACAAGCAACAAACAATCTGCTGAATATTAGTTCCATTAACTACACCCCCCACCATCACTGCAGGGGGGACTATGGCAAATAAAACGAGGCTGTGGACCCTCTACTCCATAGCTTTCAATCTAATAGTAACCCAAAGCCCATGCTGTCTGTTGGCTTTTGTTGCTCTCCGTGGGTATGTCTACACTGCAAAAAACCCCATAGCAGTGAGTCTCAGAGCCTGGGTCAACTGGCTGGGGCTACGTGGCTAAAAACAGCAGAGTAGATGTTCTCACTCGGGCCGGAGCGTGGGCCCTGAGACCCTTCCCCCCTCACAAGGTTTCAGATCCCGGGCTCCAGCCCGAGCGAGAGCATCAGCACTGCTATTTTTAGCCCTGTAGCTTGAGCCCCACCAGCTCCAGTCAGTTGACCCAGGCTCTGAAATTCACCGTGGCCACGATGCTGTCGGTTTCCACTGTCCCCGTGCAAAGGGTTAATGTTTCATGAACCTGTATCTAATCATGTTAGGGGGTTGAAGGAGTATAGCCATTTCACCACTTAGTTCCACTGCCCATTAATAATAAGCAAATGGGAGGGTATTCAGATGCATGGCCAGCCAAGCTCAGGTGTACAAAACAGCATTTTAAGAGCTCAACTTGCCCTGACTCAAAATAAGGCTGATCAAATAAGGAGCCCCTTGTTCCCCTGTGGGGCTCAGCTCTCTGCTTTTGGAGGTGGGGCTCTTCCATTCAAGAGACGTACATGGAGAATTTCTGGAGTTTCACAGCAACCACATCCTCAAAGCCACACAGACACCGTTGCGATAGTTCCCATCATGAAAAATAAACAAATAAAGCTAGTTCTTGTCTCTCAGAGCCAACCCCTTTTTAGACGGAAAGGACAGCCATTTTCCTTACCAATCATTGTTCTGCCACAGACACGTGTGTAAGGTGGCTCCGGCAGGCGCGGCTGTACACACAGCTTGTTATGGTAGGGTTGTTGCTCAGTGTGAGACTTCACGCGCTGGTTTGTTATTGCAGGGTCGCTTCTGGCGTGGCAGCCTTTGCAAGCTTTGGTTATCGCTGGGTTGTTCCTCGGTGCCGGCCCACTGGCGTTCATTCAAAAAGCAAAATTCGACCAAGTAGTGAAGCTGTTGGGGGAAAATAGAGCCCCTGCATATAAGGTATCACACAGACCAGTATGAGATAAAAATCAATGCAAGTGAAACGTGTCAGTCCCTCTGACCTTGAGAGTGTCCCGTTAATGTCCAGTGAAGCATGTAGGGTCTGAAAAGCGCATTGTCCTCGTGGCTTTCTGCATCTAGTACTGTGCTCCGTGCTGTTTACTCAGTGACTAAATGGATGTGGGAGGAGGACCTAGTTGCTAATGGTTAATAGGATAATGTCTGTTTCCCTGCACGCCTGTAACTTCTTTCAGCACTGCTGCCAACATTCCACTAGACAATGAGAGACACCGGGTCAGCAGCGTCACGCAGCACCACGCCCTCGCCTCCTCCAGTCTTTAGTAAGAAACTCTCCAGGCAAAGATCAGTCCATCAGCTAGCTGGGGGTCAGCTGCTCAGAGCTTTGGAAAGTGATTGTGGCTGTTGTGGACTGGAGTGACATTCACTAGAGCTTCAGGTCTGCCCAGAACTGTTAAACAAAGTAAATTCTGTGCTACTCTTAGTAAAGTGCAGACCTTCTGACAAGCACCAACATGTTCCCGCTCTCTGAGGCTCCTTGTGTTACAGGATAACCTGCTTTTACAGGCATTGGCACAGCTTTTGATCTTCCAGGCAGGGTCAGGGTGCGAGTGCTTCGCTCTGTGAAGTGCTCTCCTGAAGCATTAACTCTTGCTTCTATGGGGCACAAGAAGAATGAGAGGATATCTTGCCTTTCAGGCGCCGTTGTTCTGAAGGATCCTGGACAAAATATCCTATAAACTATGGGTCTGATTTTCAGGTACACCTGCATTTCCCACCTGGAATTGTGGGTACCTTGCAACTTGGAAAATCAGGCCCTGTTTTCATTCATCACTTTGCCCACCACTGAAATAAGTCAGAGATGGGGTGGACTATGACGATTGTTTAGCAGCTCACAGCAATTCTACGACAAATGTTTGCCTTGAGCACAGGAAGAAGAATCCTGTATCCGGGTAACTGCAGGGGGAGCCCAGGCCAGCAGAGTGCAAGCCGAGAGGTTCTGATGAGCATCCATTTATTTGGGGTGATTGTACAAACAAAGCTTTTGAGGTCCATCCACCACTAGAAAGACTTTAGTGTAATAAATGATCACTTGCTAATTCTCCCCAGATGGTAGGTGGCACATAAAAGATGGGGTTGGTCCTCTGTGTCCAGCCTTCCTTCGTATTATTTGCGGTAAGGCCCCTTCCACTGTTCTGGTTGTGTAAAGGGACCTTTCAGTGGGTGTGCATGTAGTTGACTCTGTCAGAGGTGTGTAAAGGGGCCTTTGTGTCCATGATAAGCCATCCCCATGTTTTCAGTGGTTGGGGGAGTTTGGGAATGTGGGTCACATCCCCCAGAATGTCCCACTGGCAGGGAGAGAAGGCTGTGAATAAACGAAAACCAAAGGCAGGAGCTATAAGAACCCACAAGGTGGTGCTGTAGCTATAAAGACATTTGAGAAATTGTCCTCCCACCAGAAGTGCTCTGGGTGGCTCTGGGGTTGGTGAGAGAAGTTCATGTTTACTGCACCAGCTACAGCATCTAATATCTCCTGGCAGGAGAATCTTCCACAGGTAGTACTTAGCAAGACTTCTCTCCCACTTACTAAGAGGTTCTTACCAGGGCTGGGGAAAGCTAGAGGAATTGGAGATGCTCTGAACCTCTCATGCTGTTTTTTGGGGTTTGCAAAGCTATTTTGATGTCTAGATGATTCATTTGAACCCATATTGTTTTCCAAGCCGAATTCAATTTGAAAAATACAATCTGCTCCCAGCTCCCGATGGGCTCAATTCTGCTTTCATTTAGATTGAGGGAAATCTGGAATAACTCTACTGGATGCACTGAAGTTGCTCTGGATTTATGCCCATGTAACTGAGATCACAGGTTGAGCCAATATTCTTTCTAGAGCCAAAGAAGACTGTGCTATGCATTAGAAAGCGAAGAGCTCCAAATAAACAAGGCCAGCACATGCGGGTGCCCAATATTATAGGTGTGGCTGGTAAGCGGGCTTAATTTATGGGATTCAATTTCACTGATTTGCTGGGACATATTGGATTGGGTATTACACTCTGTTCAATACTGTGATACTTGCAAAAAGTGTTATGTCCATTATTAAATACTAATCACAGTTATTGTGTGTTCTCATTACTGGCAACCTCTTCCTGGCAGCAGAGAATCTGACCCTAAATGTCCTCTTGCATTTTTAGGAAACCAAACACAACAACCTCATTATTAATATTGTTTATCAATTGTAGGGCAACAGAACCCAGGGTCCATGCAGGCTCCAAGCTCCCCTGAGCTAGGGGCCACACAAACACAGAGAAAGACACCGGACCTTTCCCAGACTTGTTGATGACACTGGGCATCATGCTAGGTAACTTGGGAGGGTGGAAGGCCACGAGTGCTGAGGAAGCCCCCCGCGCGAGGCCCAGACAAACCAAAGCCTCCCCATTCCGTGAACTTTCGTAATCCTGCCAGACTATGAGGAAGCTAGTATAAAAACAGAGACAGAAAGCTGCAAAAACAGTTTAGAGCAGACAGCCTGCTCTCAGAGACAGCCTTCAGACAGCTCCGGCCAGGGTAAGCGTATAGATAAGAAAGGAATGTTTTGCACTAGCTTTCTGTAACACAGGAACGGATACAACCAAATAAGGCAGGGCTTACATAATGCTAATGAGGAAACATCTAACTGGCCGCTTTGGCTGTATTATTGTACAGGGCAATAGGTAATTGGTTGTACATGCTTTTGTAGCTAAATTGGGAAAAAAGGTATAAATTGTATGATGTAATCTGCAGTTGGGGCTGCAGGATTTGAGACAGCTGTGTCTCCCTGGGCCTGTTTGCAACTGCAAATAAACTCTCTGCTCCTCCACCCCGTTGTGATTATTGGGTGACGCATACCAGGCAACGAACCCCTACTGTTGCTTGCCTTGGGCACTCTGTGGCGGCAACAGACTGACTAGCAACAAAAGTGAAACTGACCAGTCAGTCTTCAGAGTCAGGTACTTCAAATGTGAACATACTTCAGTACAGGGGTTTGTGCACATGCACTGGAGTTCGTCGCTGCTCCAGTTCATCATGTGCAAAATCTCACCCTAATCCCCCAAGGTGAATGAGATGAAAAAAGCGAACAACCAGCATAAATGGTGAAATGTCTATGAGATTTTTAAAAATCCGCTTTTATAACTGCAGGTATTCTTAGTAACAGGCAAGGACTGCAATTTTAAAGCAGATGACATTTCTCTTGACAGCATCCTTCTAGTTATCATCATAATAAAAAGAGCATTAAGAGCATGAATGTCAGCTGACTGTTGTGAAATAAACCTTCCTGTCACAATCGATCAAGCAAGAAATGTTCAGCCTCTCTTTTCTTTGCTATTTGCAGTCATGGATGCAGGTGCGCTGGGTTTGTTTATTTATTTATTTACTTAATGGTGGTGAAATTAAATATTAGTATTATACTACATTGGCCAAGGTCAAAGCCGCCTATCTACATTAAAATATCCTAAGAATGCTAATAAGTTAAATGGAATCTATCAGTCTTCGAATGTGTTTCCATTAATTTATTCTGGGACAGTTTATCTACATCAATGATTGCCCTTGTCAGCTAGGAAACCTGAAACCTTTAGGAAACACAAATGCAATTCACCAGGACTTATTTGAAATGCTAACCGATAGTTAGCTAGGAACATAGTTCAATAATGTGTCTACCTTTGAAACAAAATCAATGTTACTCAGAAGGGTATTAATGTGGGCTGTTTTTTTAATGCTGCATTTTTAATATATAAAATGTATTTTCAATGCCAGTTTCATTGGATCCCAAAGGACAGATTTGAAGCTGGTGTAAACCAGATGCCACTGAAGTGGAGCTATGTTGATTTACACCTGCTGAGGATCTGGCCCACAGTGCCCATCTGAGAGCAAAGCAGTCGCTGCAGTTGGATGAAATCTATAAGAAAAATAAACTCACTTTTTGTCCTGTTTTTCCTACTCCCGACAGTTCACCAAGTTTAGGGGCTGCTGGGACAGATAAAATAAAAGCCAGCAGAAAGGCGGAAAAGGGGAAGCCCTAAACTCTGCTGTTTTGGGACTGCAAATGTTGTAGAAGCCAAAATAAACACAGACAGATTGATTGGCACGCTCCTACAGTTTACAGGATCAGGGCCCTAGCTGGTAGCGGTGTAAAGGCATTGTCGTTTGACCCAGGTGTCTGATATGAATAGTGGAAATGGCTGAGAAATAAAATGAGAACATTGCCCAAAACTCAAACTGAGACGTTATGTTCACCTTGTTTTCTCCCACACATTTGTACTTCCTGGTTCCATCTGGGACAAGAAGTATCACAGCACAGGCTGACCTAGTATTTCAGTCTTGCCAACCACAAGCATTTGAAAATCATGAGTCAGGGCCCCAATTAATCATGAGATTGAATTAACAATCTGAGATTTGGGGTTCTTCTTCTTAGCTTTCTAGTTCTTGAGCCTTAAATTGCACTTCGGGCCACGTTTTCAAGCTTTGTTCTCCATCACGTGGGGCTAGAAATTTACTTTTTTAAAATGAAAGCTGAGATTCTCATGAAATCACTTGACTCCAGGAGCTGGCAATTGAAGAAAAATATCAAGTATCATGAGATTTGCAATAAAATCGTGAGAGTTGTCAACACTGATTTGTGGTCCAGCTTTGCAGACCCACGCTATTTTAATGGTTCTGAGAAGTGTCCAGTCATTCAGGTGCCTCTTCAATCCAAATTTCCAGGGATTTGAAAATCACATTCCAGCAGCCCTGACCAAGCAACCTCCATAGGGCTGGGGAGCACGTGATCAACATAATGATGCTGGTGGAAATTGAGCCAAAGTGTGGGTTTATGTTTGTATACCAGCAGCGGGCATGCCTGTTCTACGTTCCACCATATGCTGCGAATTACTGTGGTTGGCTCAGCGCAGGGATGCCAATTGCTGAAATTCAGCCAATGTACACTTTCTTCTTTGTTCGCTGCAGCTTAGAGCCTATCATGCATCTTCCCTAGCCTCTCACAATGGGCCCCTTTGCTGTCACTAACACTTGTGCAAAGGGAGTGCAAGGAAGAAATCAGACTTCTCCACTCGCACCCAGGGCAGGAGTGTACACCCACTTTGCACAACTGGGAATGAAAACAGAAAGGGGCGTGGAGTCTCAGGTCCCGTAACATGACAGGATCTTTGTAGGGGCCAGTCCTGCAGTCCTCTC